ACACACAAAAGAAAGAATAAGAGGTATATACATCTCGAGTGTGGGATTAGACATTTTTAATGGGTGGTCCGATAGCGGGTGGAATAATATGCCCAACAAACAACAAATATCGCTGGGATAGGCTCTGACCATGGTTCTGATACCATGTTAGAAGTGGACTTTAAGCCTAACTCAACCTCAAAAAACTAGCTTGTAGGGTGAGGTTTGCATCCCCTTATAAACTATGAATTGGTCTTATCTCTAGTCGATGTGGGACTTCCAACACACACACACACACACGCACACACACACACGCACACACACGCACACACACACACGCACGAGCTTATTGAATGAACATCCTATGCTACAGAACAACCTTTTTTTTGGTAACGATGTATTACAAAGTCATGTCTAAAAGGTTGTTCCGTAGCCTTAGACATGGGTTTGTAATACAACCTTACCAAAATAACCGAAAAAAAAATATCAGAAAAAAAGTATTTCATAAGACTTTGCCTAGAAAAATATGATGCATTTTATACCTATATACATCTGAATTTTATATTATCCTGCTTTCCAACCTTAACTGGAAAAAAGAGAGTTAGAAGTTAAAACGTATTTCAACTATGATAAAGGAAAAAAAGATATGTTTATGTTAAACGGAAAAATTATTTTCATTACTGTGTCCATTTGATCCCAAAAATATGTTTTGCCACTTCAGATTCCCATTCCAAGAAAGTTGTATATGTTGCCTCATCTTGAAATAAAATAGAGGCTGCTTCAATATAGGAATTATTCAAGTGCCCAACTTGAAAAATACCTTGTAGCTTTTCTAAACACAACCTGACCGAAGCACAAAAGGATGGTCCACAAATGCACAAGATGAAGCACAAGCAGATAGTCAAGGTGGCCATGTTGGAGAAGGATACATATAGTAACTCCAGATCGAATTAAAAATTCTTTTGATTAATTGAAAATTTTCAAAAATTGGTCTGTACATAAGAAAGAAGTTTCTTGCTTCCCTCTACAAATTTCTCATAAAAGAATAAACATTTAGTGATAAGAACTAAAAATGAAAATTTAATACAATTCAAATGACGAAACTTAACATGTGGTTGATTTACTTTTTATTTTTACAAAACAAGTCAATCATGCCACTAGAAAAATAGATCACATTCAATATTCACTCCCACAACCATTCAATATTTACACCAGCTAAATTAAACCCATAATTAGACATGTCATTTTAAGTTTCAGTCACATTAGTGCGTTTTAGTCCTCAAGCAAAATGCATTTCTCCTTGCATCATCTCAAAATCTGTTTTTGGTTCCATGGATTTTGGTCCCAAGTCCATTTTGCATAAGTTTGGAGCTTCATCCAACTACGGTGTAGATATGAATGTATCGAGTATCTATACTCGTCTTAGAAATAGCCCAAGAAAAAGGCTTCCTAAAGAATATCCTGAGATGTTTTATTATGGAAAATGCAAAAAGAATTGATTAGGTAAACATTGTATTGTACTGCATTAAACATACATTAGGTTGTACTACACATTATTTAGATTCATGATTATGAAATGATAAAAGTATTTAAAAATTAACTTTTTTCAATCATGTAAAAACAATATTTTTTTTTTCTTTTGTTAGAAGTCTTCTCTTTCTAATATAATGTTTTGCATGTTTGCTTTCAAAGGAATTTTAATGTTAGTGTCTTTTAAGATATAAGGAGAAATTGGGGCACGCGGTGGAGCTCGACAACAACATACAAGACCAAGGTGGTACAAGCATTGATGATAGCAATAACGATTGAGGATAATCTTTAAGGTTAGCATTTATTTGAAAAATCCTTATAATTAGTGATTTTAGCAATGAATAGGTGGTTCTGATGTTCCATTGAATAGAAGCACAATTAAATTTATATATTGAAATGGTCCTAGGATTATTATAAGAAAAGGAAAATGTTGAAATGTCCTAGTGAAATTATTGAAAGATAATGAAAGTTGTTTTACTTAAATAAAAAGAGTTCTTGAAATAAAAAATAAGAATAAGAAAAGAAAGAAGATAAATTTTTTATATTACCTAGTAAAATGGATAACGCTATTGAGTATTTAAATTAAGAGTTAAACATTTATATATAAAAAGAATATTAAGAAAAATAGAAATATTTAAATGTAAGACAAAAAAAATTTAAAATAATTGCATAAAGATTCTAATAAAGGAAAAAAAAATATATTTAAGATATTTGAATTGATTTGATGGTAAGTCGAACCATTAGAAAAATATTTAATATATATACATGTGTGTATATATATATATATATATATATATATATTATTTTTTTTTCAATTGGAACACTTTCAGTCGAAAAAAATAAACACGTCACTAATAGACAATTCAAATTAAAAGTTGTGATTTTTCCCCTTTTTTGTACGGAGCTTGTTTATGAAGCTTGCATAGATTCTTTTCTTTAGAATTTTTAAAAGGCACGTCTTAGAAACTTTCTATTTTTCTATTATTTATATTTTGTATGGTTCTTTGAATTTAATTGGTCTTGTTGCTTTTTGCATGTAGATGAAGGCAATTCTTTTATGAGCAAGACCAATTCTCAGGAATCAAATCTGCCTTTTCTGTTTTTTTTTTTTTTTTTTGAAGAGTACTATAGTATGTTCTATGCTCTATTCAAATTCTGATTTGGAATTGCCGGTAAAATATTAGCATCTTAGTTTTTGAAATCTTCTTTTCTTTCATCATCAAACTATCTTGCACCACCACAATGCTTCACACTTGCCATTAACTATTTCTTTTTATTCTTTTATTTACTTAAAAACTTATTTCAATTCTAAATAAGAGCCAGATAAAAGAATTACAGAGATTTTAATTAAATATGCTTTTGATTTTTAGAATATCAATGGTTTTTTCATTCATCGTAAGCCGATTTGATACAAAGTTTTTAACATCAAAAGAACAGTCTGAACATTTCAGAGATGAAAAGAATAATCTGAATATTTTAAGGACCATTTAGCGATAGTTTTTTCGGAATGAAATATAATATTGAATATTTTTCAGGAGCCAAAAGAAATTATCAGAAACTATGACAAAGATGTGAACATATTTTTTATATAAGAATATATTAATGCAAAAGTTAAATACTTTTATTTGAAAAAGTTAATTTTGAAAGCATTGGGTACACTATTCTTTGGTGAAGTTTATGCACTGTATATTTCTTTTTGCTTTGAAAGAAATATATATATTTAAAATAAAAGTCGTTTATTTTAAGTCTTTGGGGTTATTCCATTGAAGCAAGATGAAGCTGTAACGAGTTCGTTTCAATTAGTGAAAGCACTTGAATCGTTAATCCAGTCGTTTAAGCTCAGAAGAGTTTCTCTATAAATTACAATTACCTTTTTTATAAATCAAAATTAATCATTAACTAATTTCAAATAGTTTTTAAATTAATTTTAATGTAAAAAGATATATGGAGAAACTCGTTCAAATACATCATCTATAATACAAAGATTATGCTTTAATACAAAAGAACAAAGAAGATGAGAAAACTACTTACTTCAATTGATACAATTTGTAAATTCAATTTTAAGATCAGCTGTGAATTTAAATTAGTTTATCTAAAATTAACAATCTTTAAATCCTTTTTTAAGTAGAGGTTTATGAAAAGAAAACATTTGCTTCTCATGATTAAGCTGTACCAAATTTTGACTTACAGTCTCTCTCCATATTAGGTCATTATCATTCTTTATAAAATTGAAACTGAGGTGTAATTATATATATATATATATATATATATATATATATATATATATATATATATATATTTATTTATTTAATTTAAAGAAGAATGGCGAAAAAGAAAAGCGTTAAAATTGAGATGATGAGTAACTACTCGTCAAAGTCCTATCACTCGATTTATCTTTTTAGGGTTCTGGTATGTATTTTGATTCCTCTTTATTTTTTTTTTCTTGTTCTTCTTTAATGCACGATATTAAATTAACATATTTAAAGCAAAATGGGATGATTCGAACCTAAAAGAAATTATTCCTCTACTTTATTTTTCCTTTGAATAGCAAGCAATTAAAAAAACCCCATGCTGTGATTAAGAATTCAATGGGGTAAATTTCTGGTTTCCATAAATGCCTGAACTAAGTAAAATATTTGAACGCCATAATTGCTTGCCTGTTTCATCTAACACTCAAGTTGATATATAGTACCCAGGAAACAGTTGCTGGGAATGTAAATGGACATTGTACTTTTGAAAACTTCAATGAATTCAAATTTCCTCCACATGTTTTCATTCTGACTCAAAACATTTTACTTTTAATTGTGTACCTGCCTTGTACTACTTATGCAGGTCCAACCAAGTTCATGCCCTTAGGAGCTGTTAATGCTAATTCATCTTCTTTATTGAACTCCAGTTTCATTTATGCATCCAAGGTGTATGAATTAAAACCTATTTTTTTACCAATTAAAAGTAAGACTGATAGGAAGAAAAAGAGATGCTGAGTGTGGAGAAAGGTTCTGTTAGATTGTGAGTGCATCCATCAGTATCCACACAAACTACAATGCCTGTCTGTGTGCAACAAAATTCCACACAATATTGAACCATTGAAGCAAACCCTGGGTTGAAAAAAGGTGGTCCCTAAGACCAAACCCATGATTTAATTCATCTTCTTCTTCAACTCATCTTTTTTAACCTTTCATGGGCCCCTCAACAGCATGCCCTCTGGTGGGACCCTTTTGTTATATGACACCCACCAAGTTGATTTTCCATGTGGTGGAAGATATGACCCCCACAATGAGTGAGAGAATGTGCAAGAGAAGAAAAAAGAAATGCCCCATTGGAGAAACGGTTGGTAACCATACCATACAAAGGGTCCAGGAAGAAAAACACAAAAGGAAAAGCTGAAATTTGAATTATGTCTCTTTGGGGGCATGTCTTTTCCACACCCTTGCTTTACATTTAAGAGCAGAAGCACAATATGATAACCTTTGTAATTATTTAGTCCCCCACATATATAACCAAGGAAATAAATTTTAAAAAACTAAAGTGAACACAAACACATTTTCAGAATCCCAAGGAACATCCACTTTTCTCATCACCCTGCGTTGACTGACTCATACTACTACTATTCCTACTCTTTCTTAAACTCATCCCTGCTTTTCTGTTTTCTTCCATAACTTGTACATAAATAGACCCTTCTCATCATTTTTTGTTGCCATCAACTCACACTGTGTAGTATACCTTGTTACAAAATGAACAATCTTCATTCCCTAGCTTACACTGCTGCTACTACTAGCCTCTGTGGTTCTTCCCTAGGTTGGGATTATCACAACCTTGGAGTTCTCAACGCGGACAAAATGTCTTTAAGTACTATACTTTTCTTTCTCTTTATATTTCTACCTTCTTGGATAACGATATGAATGCAAATAACTAGCTAAGTGTTGCAATGCAATGATTGATGATATTCAATATGCAGTGGAAGCTATGGAGGGAAGTACACCATCACTCTCCCCTCAACATTCTGATTTCTCAACTGGGTATCTCGAAGATGCTTTGATTGAATCATGTGAACGTTCCAAACGTAGACGCTTGCTGCCATGTACTACTGCTGATGAGCATAGCATGAGTTTCATAGATGACCTTGAGCAGGTACAGAATTAACCATGTATACTCTTTGTTTTAGTTTTTCTTTAGATCAGTTTGATTTTCTCTTGTTCTTTGGTTGAGGCTGAATATACATAATGATTTCTTCACTTTAGAGTTTCTGGAACTTCAACCCCTTATGGCACCAACCAGTGGAGAACTTCAACTTCTACTGCATGAACCAGATAGAAAGGTTTTGTGGATTTTCAGGTATATATATGTCATATATGCACTGATTACTACACGAGCTCTTAATGATATGGTCAGTTTGGTTCAGAATGCTATAATTCCAAACCAAACACTGAACAATATAAATAATGCTGTTACCTTTGTAATTAAGTTATTGAGAAAAGGGGTCCCAGAGAAAAATAAAAAGAATGAAGGAAAAATGTGTTGATGATTGTGCTGTTACTTGTACCCTTTTTCTAATGTGAAATATCTGAATTATTGTAGATGAACTTATAAGCACATCAAGGAGCGAGGAAGCAAACATTCTTCTAGCAGATTCTAAAACACCGGAAGAGACAATATCAGCCTCTGAATCTTTAAATTCATCCTCATCTTCTTACAAACAACCGGTGACATGCAAAACCACAGACCCCACAGTAGCCCCAACAGGTACTATATTCTCCTTTTCTCTTCTAACTATTATAATATATAAGGAAAGGGAAAAACTTACATAGTTGTTTTTTGGTGTTTTCCTTCTATCAGAATTGGAGTTTTATTTATTTCTGAGTAATAAAAGTTTGCTTTAAAAATTAAAATATATGACAGATACAAAACTCCAATTCTAATCCAATAACAGCATCAGAAAGAAGTATATGGAAACCTGAAAGTGTATCGAAGTTTTGTCCTAATATAGATTTGTTTGTATTAAGGCATGAATAAATGGTTATTGTATGAACAGGAAGTGATGAAATGGGGAATAAAAAGGTGGTAACAAGAGTGGTGTATCCATTTGCAATGGTGAAGCCAGGAGGTAGGGAAGGTGATGTGACATTAAATGACATAAATGAGAGGATCCTAATGCCTCCTACAAGGCCAGTGAGGCATCCAGTTGGGGACTTTGCATGTCGGCCATGCGTGTCCGCAGAGGGTCCAGGCCTTTCAGGGAAAGCAGTGGTGGCCCTTACTAGAATTCACACACAGGGAAGAGGCACAATCACTATTATCAGAACCAAGGGCTAAACAATATTCAGCAGTGTTGTGTTATGGCTTGCTTGCTTGCTTGCTTGCTTGGCTAGCACCTATCTAGCTATTACTTCAAGCAGCTTTTTGAGCCTGATTTGCTTTGTTTTCATCAGTCCTTCTTCCAATTGTAAAGATGGAAAGCGATATCTATGTATGTGCATACACCTTATATAATACTTGAATCTTATGTTAAAGCTGTTCTTCTCAGAGATTCTGGCCAAACCTTACAATTATTTGATTTGAGTGTTGTCCTAGTTGCTACTACCCAATGATAATGATAATAGTAATAATAACATAAAAAAGAATATACAAGAGAACAGGGGATGAAAAAACAAATAATCACAGAGAGGATAGCACAATGAAATTAAGGTTTTCTGCCACTGGTTAGGACTTTTGATCTTTGACAAAGACACAACAGTAGATGCCATTGTTTCTGCATCCTTGGAAGTATATGTGTGTCTTGTCTATTATGTGGTTAATTGAAGTAAGGTGCAAGAGGAAAAAAAATATACATTTCACACCGCACAAATTTTAAAATTAAATTTACATTAAGATATATAAATGAATAATTTGATCTCTGAATGCAAGAAACACTGTCAATTTAGTTCTCGAAACAACAAAAATCTGATTTGGTCTCTGAAAAATGAAAAGATTAATTTTTTGAATATTATATTTCAATTACAAAATGATCTCGAATTTAGTGTCAATTTGACCTTGAAATTATATTTTAATAAAAAAAGTTATCTCATGAAACTTAACAGCAGCAAAGAGTTCAGAGATTTTTTGCACATTTAGGTATTAAATTATCAAGGCCTCACATATTCAAGGACCAAATTGATGATTAGGGTTGTCTTGGTTTACCCTTTATAGGAACTAAACACATCATAGCTAACTCTGAGTAAGGCTGTTATAATTTCTGCACATACTTGTTTGTAAAGATGATAGCAGAGTCTTTTGAGAGAAACCGAAGAAGTGGTCATGATTATTTTATTACATTTTTCAATTTAACAGTTCACAGCATCCACAGTTAAAAATGATACATTCACAGATTTCAGTGAGAGAAAAGGAACAAAGGACAAAACAAGCACTGTTGCCATTAAATCTACCCACACTAATAACAGATTAGCAACCATTACAATTGTAGCTATATCACACTAACTACCTACACTAAAATCCAAAAGAAGCACAATAAAGCTTTGAGCAAATCTAATGTAGAAGCAAGTATTCTTTCTCTTCTTTTCTCTCTCTTTATTGATAAGATATTACTACTTTTACAATACTGCCAGACAGAAGAGATAAGAAGACCTATACTTAATTACCAACCCCAAATGTTTAAATTGACTTTTGATTATATAAAGACAATTTACAGCAACCCCCAGGACTTTATTTCCCTCTTTTCTTTATTAGGAATTGAACCTAAAACTTCATTTTACTTTATTCACATCCCAACCTTTCAAAGATATTCACATTCCATCTTTTGTCTGCCAAATCTTCCACCTTCTTTTAGTTAAAAACTTGCTATTGTATACAATTAAGTGTTAGTTAATTGCCTTAAGATGTTGATAGGCTTAGATTCTCAAAGCACACTAAAGAACAAACAGTATATGACAAATAGGGAGAATAGTGTGAAGTGAATCTTGCATATGAGTACTGATACCTCAATCATGAGTCCAAACATGATATTATAATGTAGTTGTTAGAACAAAAAGGCCTAATTTCTTCATGCCCAGTTGTGGTATGTTGTGGTGTCTTCCTCAGAGGTCAAACCATGATCAATTTTACACAATCCAAATAATAGACAATATCTAGGATGGGACCCATGAATGAGCAATCGAATCATACAGTACCTATGATTTTTCTAAGCAAAAATTTGGGTCACTATCTACTATGCATTCTTGTGTGGAACCACTATCCTAATTTGATATTCTATTGTTTTGGTAATGTTTGAGTAGCAAAGTTGATTTCATTGGCACATGAGTGAGTGGCATTTGATCTCATGACTCTGCATGGTGTAGACCTACCTCACTTGAAGGGAACACTGTCACAGCTGTACTGCAAAAGTATCAACATCTAATCTGACCTCATATGTGTTTGGTGGGGGATTCGGTCATTCAGTGCTAATTCTCCATTTCATTATGCATGGTTTTGTCTCCTATTGCGACCTATGTTAGATCAACCATCCTCTGACTTTTTCCCTTTTCTAAATATTCTCTTGGACCATCTTTTTTTTTTTTTTTCTGGTTTTATGTGATATTTCCACCCTTTGTCTTGCATCATATATGTATATTCTGTGTCTCTGAAGGCACTTTTAAAATGTTATAATTTCAGTGTGAGAATTTTTCAAATTTTGATAGTCACACGGGGCAAATTGGCAAGACAATGATAGACTTGGACCTTTTTTATTGGTCAAATTAATTATATATTATATATAAATAAATGAAACAGAAGGGGGAAGATTTTACTATTAAATTTCAATAAATATGTATAGAAAAGTTGTAACTTTATATATATGTATAAATTTTTACTTCTCGAAAAAATTAAAAAAAAAAAAGAATTTGCAAGTTAACTTTACTTGGTTGTGTAAAAACTTTGGCGAGTCTACCATTTGATTGGTGAAGAAAAAGTGAGGATTGTTGTCTTGTGAGTGCTATTGATGAGGTTGGCTTTTCTAGGTCAATGTGGTAAATTATTTATGTATTCATAGAAAATTTAACCTGATGCATTCTGGCCATCACGTGTGTACGTCATTGTTATAATAATAATAATAAAATTGTAATTCCTTTTTCAAAATTATTTATTTGAATAGTATCAAGATCTTGTGAGCAAAAGCAACTTTAATTATATCAGTTTATTTAAAACTGCGTTATATACGCATGATACTTAGAGAAAAAGTTGTCATACATTATTTTTTATTTGATATTAAGTTTGAAAACTGATCAGAATAACAAGAAAATAAGTCACACAGCCTTAACTTTAATTATTCTCAATTACCTTTACTTCTATTATATTTTTTTATGATATGCAACTTGATTTAACTATTAATAAAATGTTGAACTAAGTCTTAAATTTTTTAATATCAATAATTTGATATTTTTCATCCAATTAACAATAAAATTGTTAAAAATAAGCATAAATAAATTTTAATTTTAGTAAACGGTTGATGCTAATTTATAAAACTAAAAATGTCAATTTAAAAAACAATCAAAGGATTATATTATTAAATTCACCGACCTAATTAAATACTAGAAAAACTGCATATTTACATTTTAAAAATTAAGAAATTTGATAAAATGTTTGATTAACATGTAAATAAAATTAACTAATTAGAGAAAATTAAAATTTGTTTCTTTTCAAAATTTTAAACTAATTTAATTATATTTTGTTAAGTTTATTTAATGTTTCAAACAAGTTAAACGAAAATGTGTCAAATAATGGTGTGTAAACAATTCAAATGTTATTATACACAAATTTAAAATGTCAAATAAATTTAAATATATTTAGTTAAAAAAATTAAATCCACACATTTTTAAAATTAGAGTTAAGTCAAAATTTTAAAAGTGAATTATTTTTAATTCTAAAAAAGATTAAAAAACAAAAATATATTTAACCCTAAATTAAAAAAGCTATTTGAACTTATTACACATTATTTGTAGGATAATCCCTTGGTTAAACAAAATATCTTAGAGATGTGAAATACTTAACTTTCAAGGCAATTGATTAATTTTTCTAAACCGATATTAGTTAATGATGACAAAAAAAAAAGCAATAATTTTGAAATAAGGTACGTTTTACATTTGTTTCCTGTTTCCAACGTTTAAAAACTTTGAAGATGATTAGGTGAGAATGAAAGATGAAAATTGAAATAAGCGACGTTGCAAGGAAGAAGAAATGGCCCACAGGGTCCTCTCTATTATTAAATCAAATGTGTGATCATAATTAGACCCAAATATCAATCAAAGTGGGTTCCATGCTAATCAAAATCATAATTCAAATATTGTTTAAATTCAAAATACTAGTACTTATTTTAGTTCGCAATTAATGCTTTGTCCTATTTCCTCTATGCAACTCTATTTTATATAATATATCATGTAATATCTTTATCATATATAATTTCTTATAGGTATTTTCTGAGTGTGTGTGTGTGCGACTCTTTTTCTTGTTATCATAAGTTTATTAATGATCTAATGGTTATAAGAATCTTAATGAGGTTTATGTATGAGGACTAAGAATAAATTATCTTGATTGAATGACATGTATTATTCTTTAGCAGCATATAATAATCTATCTTTTAGAAGCATGCAACTGTTGGAATGTGACTGATTGTTCTATCATCTTCTTGATAAATTCAACTAAGTCTTTTAATTGAAGATCTTGTTGAGAAACTCATTTATCTTAATGACATTTTGTATTGGTGATTATGTTGATAAATGTGTATGAATATGCTATACATATATGAGATTATTCAAATTATATATAAATAAATGAAGTTTAGTTAGGTTAAAGTAACTTAAAGCCCCCTAATTTAATATTCTAACTTGATCAGGCATTACAAAAGTAAAATTAAAGTAAACTAAGGTAATCCATGTTTCTTCTAAATAAATATATAAATAAATAAACTCCTATGCTCCTTAATGGTTATAATTAATTAAAGTCATTAAGTTGTTTACGCATTCGTTATTGATAGATGGATTAAACATACTCCGCGAGATTGGTTTCAGATCATACGTGTTTATTTTTTATGATAATAAAAATAATAAAACTATTATTATTATAATAATAAACAAATATAAATAGTTTTTATTTATTTTATAGGTAATTTTATTTTAAAAAATGTTAAGTTTAAAAAATATTTAATAAAAAATGGTTAAATTTAAGGAGATGACGGCTTAAAGGGTAAGTTGAAAAAATAATTATTTCATTTTAAAAAAGTTTTTATTTAAAGAATAAAATTGAAAATTAAATGTGGACATCAAACAAAACAAATGAATCCCTTTTATGTATATGTATAAATATATATATGAAGTACTGAACAATACGTAATTTTAAATCATTGTCTTTGACAATAAATATCTGTATCAATATTTGATTAAAAATACTCAAAATATTAAACTAAAACCATCCTCTCCCCCCTAAATATATGTATTTAGAAATTATAGGGTTAATGAACTAAATCTTATAGCTCCCTAAATATTAATTGGCGTAATTTCA